AGCAACAAAATAAACAATAGTATTAGATAATAAACCAAAGAATACAATAGCTATAAAATTAGAATTTTTTAATTTAAATTGAATAAAAATTTAAAATAAGGAGGACTGAAATAAATAATTCTCCAAGATTATTATATATACCCTTCCCATAAATGGATTTTTTTTCCCCAAAATACTGAGTTTTTAGAATTTTTAAATCTCCAGCCTCAAATAAGACAATTTAGCAAATAAAAGTTTGGTATTACTTTCCTTACAGAACATAACTATACTGGGACCAATCTGCTTTCTAAGATACCTGCACGTCTAAATTGATTATAGAGACAACATGACACTCCACAACTTGACAGTGATACTTGGGTAATCCCTGGCACCTCCAATCAATCACACCATTGAGCTGAGGTTTTGCTTAACATTCTGGGCCGCCTAAGATCACTGTGCAAGTGGGGACAGTAAAAACCCTTTTCAACTGCGTGTATCCACATACCTGGTAGCAGATCTGTCCTTTTCTGCTTGGGCCACAAATGCTAATTCACCTATGAAGGTTTACTGAAGTGGTACCAGTTATGATCCCTGTCATTAATTCAACCACTGACCATACCAACAAAAGAGCGTTTGATCAGTGCATTTAGAACAAGATTTCTCTGATCTGAAACATTTTCCTGAAACTAACATTCAGGCACGATGCTAAAATATAAGCCCCCCCACCCAAAAAAAAAAAAAAACAAAAAACTTCTAGTTTTAAATCCTTACCTGGAAAAACCAACAAATTCTTATTTAAGTGTAAGCAGAACAAGAAACAGCATCTTTTGTACATTTCAGTAATGAAGCCGCTGAAATTTCAAAATGAAAATGACAGACTGTATGTTTCCTGATTCAAGCCAAGATAAAAGACACAATCAAGGAAGAAAAGCAGTTCAAGACAGAGCTCAAAAATTCTACTCTTTTATCACAGTTTGGACAACCACAGTGACTTTTTATGACCAAGAATCACTGGGTTGTTCTTAGTTTCGCAAATGGTTTTTCCCCCCAATGGCCGTTTAAGATAAAAGACCACACTATCAACAACTTCCCAGATAAAAATTATCCTAAATGTGTTTTCCTCTTTCTCCTATATTTATGCTGTTTCAACAAAGTCCCATTAAGGCATCATAACAGACTGCAGTGGTAAGTCAGACCAGCATTAACGCAGGCTGACAGCACACACACAATGTCCAAGGGCACTATCATTTGACAGATTATCAGATAAAAACATGAGGAGAGCCAGAAAAGGTTTAATTCAGCAGAGCCCTGGAAAACCTAACACATTTAATCTGTGTCTTCAATAACCTTGGCCCACAGACCCTTCACATCCCACTCCCACCCACAAAAGTCAAGGCAATAGAAAAAAATTAAATGGTAATTTTTGCCCAGTTTCCAAACTTGTCCTTTGCTAAGAATCACCTCAGGAGCTTGTGTAAAAATGACATTTCTGAACTCCCTTTCCTGGAAAGTGCAGTCAGTAGATCTGGGGTGAAGCCCAGGACTATGTATTTTAATAAGACTCAGGTAAGCCTCAGCATCAGGTTAAGTTGCTGGTTTTCCCAGGTAACCCTTGCCCCACTGTGATCTGACCAAGATGAATCTAGAAGGTAGCAGAAAGGGGAGGAGGTCCCCAGGATCTGCTTTAGCCTGGCCTCAGGAGGGTCGCTAAGGCCCTGAGCCACTTTCCACTGCAGCATCCCTACCCTCCTCCAAGGCCATCAGGGCATGGGAACTCAGTAGTCTCTGGTGTCTCAGGGTTACCTTAATGTTCTCCAGGTAGGGTGTCTCCTACAGCACTCTGTCACACCACTGTGGCCAGGTTTGACTCAAGGTTCCGAGACCTGGGCACAGAATTTTACACATATTCTCAAATATGTTCATGTAGAGCTCCTGGTTCTGACTGTACTTAGCACAGCCTGCAGGTCCAAGGCTGACTTCATTACAGAACTCAGACCCACACGACAGGCAGCAGGGAGAATGTTCCTGAATCCTTGAATAAACCACTTGCGCCACTCAGGCTCCTAGAATTACCATATGACCCAGCAATTCCACTCCTAGGTCTTTGTCCTCAGTATAAGCAGTTTTTTTAGGATCCCCAGGACACAAACTGGAGCCGTGGTGGCACAGTGGTTAAGAGTTCGGCTGCTAACAAAAGGTTGGCAGTTTGAATCCACCAGCCACTCCTTGGAAACTCTATTGGGCAGTTCTACTTGGTCCTACAGAGTTGCTATGAGTCGGAATCGACTTGATGACAACGGGTTTGGTTTGGTTTAGGACACAACCTGTACCAATGCTTTCTAACAGCTATCTGTTGGCAGCTAAACAAAATCCTGCAGACTTTAGTTGCCTTGCAATGAACTAAAATCTTTTATTCTTGGACCACTGAGACTGCAATTCTCATCCACTTGTGCTACCAAGAGAAAGACCACACAAAACAGTAATAAAAAATAACAGTGAGAATTAACTATGGGCTAAAGCTTGTGCTAAGCTCTTTACATGCATTAACTTTTATTTCATTCTCACTCATCTCACACTGCTTTATCCGGAACCCAACACAGGTGCCAAGGACACCTCAGTGAACAAACACACAAATCCCTGACCTCATGGGCGTTACAATCTGCAGAAATGGGAGAAAGACAGTAAAAGTTACAGAAAAATAAACTACATAGTATGCATCTTAGGCTGGGTTCTCTAGAGAAGAAAAACCAGTAAAGCGTATAAATGTATACAGAGAGAGATTCATACCAAGGAAATGGCTCACACAGTTGTAGAGGCCAGAAGGTCCCAAGCCTATGGGTCAGGAAAGAGGCGTCTTCTAATTCATGTAGCCTCAGGGGCTGACAAACCCAAGATCAGCAGGTCAGAGAGCAGGGCTCTTGCTCATAGGCTGCAAAGATCAACAAATCCCAAGACTGGCAGGCAAGACTGCAGGTGAGCTGCTAGCTCAAGTCCCAAGAACCAGAGGTCAGACAAACAGGAGCTAGCTGCAGGATGCAGAGTGAGTAAAAACCCATGAGCCCTACCAGAATGTCCACTTATATTTGATGCAGGCTACATCCCCAAGGAAACTCCCTTTCAACTATTTACAGCAGATCTCATCATGGAGATGATCACATTATATCAAATCTCATAATGGAAGTGATCACATCATATGACTGCCAAACCACTGAGAATCATGGTCCAGCCAAGTTGACACACAACCTTAACCATCACAGTATGTTAGAAGGGGATAAGTGCTAAGGTTATAAAAGAGAAAGCGCAAGGAGCAGAAGGGGTATGGGGCAGGAAGTGGTTTACAATTTTAAACAGGGTGCCAGGGAAGACTCCCAGAGAAGGGGACTTGAGCAACATCTTGAAGGAGACCAGGAGTAAGCCAGGTGGACATCCAGGAAGACAACTCCAGCAGAAGGGGAAACAGGGCTTGGTTCCTGAGTCATGAGTGTGCCAAGTGCCTAGGGGACCAAAAAGTAGCCCGTGGCATTGAGCAGAGTGAGTGAGAGAGAAGAAAGATGAGGCCAGAACTGCAACCGAGGCCAGGCTGCGGAGGGTCTCGAGGTCATTTACAGAACTTTGGTTTTTCCTCTGAAAACAGGGATAATGCTTCAAGATCTAGTTTTTAACAATGGATTTTTAGATACGACACCAAAAGCACAAGCCACAAAAGAAAAAAAATACATAAATCAAACTTCATCAAAATTAAAAAATTCTGTTCATCAAAGACTTTCTCAATAAAATAGAGATCAGGGTGACTGGAAAAAAATTTGAGGAAACCCTACATCTGATGAAGGTTTAATATCCAGAATATAAAAAGAACTATAACTTAACAGCAAAAAGACAAACAACTGAATCAAAAAATGGGCAAAAGATTTGAATAGATAGTTCTCCAAAGAAGAAATACAAAGGGCCAATACGCACATGAAAAGATGGTCAACATCCTTAGTCATTAGAGAATGCAAATCAAAACCACAATGAGATACCACTTTACCCTCACTAGAATGACTGTGATTAAAAAAAAGAAAACAGGTGTTGGTGAGGAGGTGAAGAACTGGTGGGAATACAAAATGGTGCAGCCACTGTGGAAAAGAGTTTGGCAGTTCCTCAAAAAGTTAAACACAGAATTACCATCGTTGTTGTTGCTTTTAGCTGTTCTCAAGTCAGCCCAGACTCATGGTGATCCCATGTGTTACAGAACAGAACTGCTCCATAGGGTTTTCTTAACCATAATCTTTACAGAAGCAGTTCGCCAGGTCTTTCTTCCATGGAGCTGCTGGGTGGCTTCAGACTGCCATCGTTTAGCTTAGCAGCTAATCACACACTGCTTGCAACACGCAGGCTCCTAGAATTACCATAAAAACCCAAAAACCAAACCTGTTGCCATCGAGTCAATTCCGACTCCTAGCAACCCTACAGGACAGAGAAGAACTGCCCCGTAGGGTTTCCAAGGAGCGGCTGGTGGATTCGAACTGCCGACCTTTCGGTTGGTAGTCAAACACTTAACCACATATGGCCCAGCAATTCCATTCCTAGGTATACATCCAACAGAACTGAAATCAGGAACGCAAACTTATACTTGTACACCAATATTCATAGCAGTATTATACACAATAGCAAAAAGGGGGAAAACAAACTAAATGTTGATCGACAGATGGATGGACAAACACAATTGTGGTCCACCCATACAAGGGAATATTATTCAGCCATAAAGAGAAATGAAGTCCCAATACATGCTATTTACATGGATGAACCTTGGAAACATTACGCGAAGTGAAATAATTCAGTCACTAACAACAACAATTAAGATGTATTATTAGCAAACTTCTAATACAGATGAATACCAGACTGGTTTAAGTAATGTCAGAAGCAAAGAAAATAACACTTTAGTTAGCCAAAAAGTCAGAACAACCCCAAAATTAGCAGCAAGCGTGAAATACTGTTGTATCTTGGGTGCAGGGTTTCTACAAATTGAAACTGAGTTGTACCTTGAACAGGGATTTCCCCATAGTTTGGTCTCTTATCCGTCAGAGTCGTTAGGGGTTTGGACGTTGAGATTGGTCCACTTATAGAATGTCTCTGAAATCATAAGACAAACAGTCTCAAAGCCAAGTTAAATCTAGAGCTGAGACTCACAAAGAAAGTAACTGTTGCAAAGTAAATATTTGGTTCTTATTTTGCATAATTTATTCTACATCACTACAGTAAGGTTGTAACACACAATACAGGAATATAGTATGATCAATATACTTTTTAAAAATTAAACTCATTTTGAGATAACTGTAGATTCACATGCAGTTTTAAGAAACAATACAGAGAAGACCCTATTTACCCCTTACCCAGTTCTCCCCGACGGTAACATCTTGTAAAACTATAGCACAATGTCACAACCAGGATACTGTCATTGATGCAGTCAAGATACAGAACGGTCCATCACCACAAGGACCCCTCCTGTGGCCCTTTTACAGCCACACCCTCCCGCCTCCTTTCCTGCCCCCCACATCACTGACCACTGGCAATCACTCATCTAGTCTCCTGAGTGTGGTTTTATTAATTCATTTAAAGAGAATTCTTAAAAATACCACAGATCCATTAACTAAATACAAAAACATGTCCCAAAACAAAATATGGATGGGCTTCTACTGTTGGTTTATTGCTGCTCATGCCCTGGTTCCAAATCTCATTCTGTCACCACCCTGGTAACTCTACTGCTACGAGTGTCCCAGGGCAAGCCTATCATCTCAATTCACTACTACCGCACCAGCTTTACCCTTGGCTTCCTCATCTCCAGACGTATACACACATCCCTCTATACACACCAACAAGTACCCACCACAAATACTTAAAGCTGTTCAGTTCTTCTGTTTGATCTCCTGCCACCTCTATGCAACGTTCTACCACCAAACTTATCTCTGTGGAATGCCTGTTTACCAAGTGCTTTTTCTCGCACTTCATTACCTCAGCGTTTCCCTAACCCCTTGGAGCTAACCTCTTGCTACTCACTTTACATTCTCAGCAGAGATGTGAGAATTCCGGCTTCTCCACATCCTCCCCAGCACTTAATACTGTCAGTTTGTTTAACTTTAGCCATTCTGAAGGGTGTGTAATGGGATCTTACCATGGGTTTAATTTTCATTTCCCTGGTGATTAATGATGCTGAGTGTATTTCATGTGCTCATTGGCCATTCTTGTATCTTCTCTTGGGAAGGGCCTTTTCAAATCTTTTCCCTATTATTTATTGTGGTTGTTTATTTTCTTACTATTGTGTACAAGTCTTCTGTCAGATAAATGTACTGCAAATATATTCTTCCCAGTCTATAGATTGCCATTTTCTTAATATCTTTCAAAGAGAAGTTTCAAAAAAAATGCTGAGGCCAAATTTATCAATTTTCTTTTGATTTGTGCTTTTTCTTATGTCTTAAATAAGAATCTTTGCCCAATCGAAGATCATGAAGATTTTTTCTGATGTTCTCATCTAGAAGTTTTACAGTTAGGTCTATGGTTGGTTTTTAGCTAATTTTTTGTGTATGCCATGAGGTAAGGGTTGAGGTTAATTTTTTTCCATATGGAAATCTAGTCGTTCCACCATCCTGTGCTGAAAAAGACTACCCCTCTCCCACTGAATTACCTTTGTTGAAAATCAATTGGCTATTTCTGGACACCATCTATTCCACTGTCTACATTTAAATTTATGCCAGTACCACATGGTCCTGTTTAATTTTACTGAAAGTGTTGAAATCAGGTAGTGCCAGTCCTCCAAATTTGTTCTCTGTTTCCCCCCGCCAGATGCTTTGGATATTCAGGTTCCTTTGCATTTCCATATAAACTTTAGAATTATCTTGTCAATTTCAACAAAAAAGTCTGCTGGGATTTTAACTGGGATTGTTGGAGAACTGAGATATTAACAATATTGAGTATTCCAGTCCATGAATATGATAATCTTCTACTCATTACTTCTTTAATTTCTCTCAGCAATATTTTACAGTTTTATTGCACAGGTCTTATACGTATTTTATTAAATTTATTGCTAAGTATCCCAATTTTCAATTGTTCACTGCTAGTGTACAGAAATACAACTGATTTTTGTATGGTGACCTTGTATCCTATGACCCTGCTAAATTTTTGCGGATTCCTCAGAATTTTCTAAGTAAATGATCATGTCAGTAGTAAATACAGTTTTATTTCTCCTTTTCCAATCTGCACACTTTCTTTTCTTTTTTGCCCTTATTGCACAGGCAGGAGTGCCACGAAAATGATGAACAGAGTGGTGAGAGTGAGTCTGCTTGCTGTGTTCCTGATCCCAGAGGAAAGCAGTCAGTCTCTCAATTAAATAAGATGTTAGCTGGAGATTTTTCGCAGATCCCTTTAGTAAGGCTGAAGAAAATCCCTTCTACTCCTATCTTGCTGGGAGTTTTTATAATGAATTGTGAAATTTTGTCAAAGGCTTTTTCTGCAGATATTGAAACAACGTGCTTTTTTCTCCTTTATTCTGTTGTTGTTAGGTGCTGTCCAGTAGGCTCCGACTCATAGAGATCCTATGTACAACAGAACGAAACACTGCCTGGCCCTGTGCCATCCTCACAATTGTTGCTATGTTTGAGCCCATTGTTGCAGTCACTGTGTCAATCCATCTCATTGGAAGTCTTCTTCTTTTTCGCTAACCCTCTACTTTACCAAGCCTGATGTCCTTCTCCAGGGACTGGTCCCTCCTGATAACATGTCCAAAGTACATGAGATGAAGTCTCACCATCCTTGCTTCTGAGGAGCATTCTCGCTGTACTTCTTCCAAGACAGACTTGTACATTTTTCTGGCAGTCCATGGTATATTCAATACTCTTTGCCAACACCATAATTTAAAAGTGTCATTTCTTCTTTGGTCTTCCTTATTCATTGTCCAGCTTTTGCATGTATATGAGACGACTAAAAATACCATGGCTTGGGTCAGGTGCACCTTAGTCCTCAAAGTGACATCTTTGCTTTTCAACACTTTAAAGAGGTCTTTTGCAGCAGATTTGCCCAGTGCAATATGCAAATACGATTTCCTGACTGCTGTTTCCACTGGCATTGACTGTGGATCCAAGTAAAATGAAATGCTTGACAACTTCAATCTTTTCTCCATTTATCATGAGGTAAAATTTAACCCTGTAGTCCTGGGATAAGCCACACTTGGTCATGGTAGATTATCATTTTTATATATCATTGGATTCAATTTCATAATTCCTTCTTTTAAGTTTGCATCTATATTCACGGGGAACACTGGTCAGTAGTTTTTGTTTTTTGTAATGTCTACATTTGGTTTTGGCATCAGGACAATGCTGGTCTCATAAAATTAACTGGAAAGTCTACTTTTTCTTCTATTTTCTGAAAGACTTTGTATGGGATTAGAATAAAGGATTCACCGGTAATATCAGCAGGACCTGGAGTTTTCTTTGAGGGAAGGCTTTTTATTTTTAAATAATTATAGATTCACAGGAAATTGCAAAGTTAGTACAAAAAGCTCCCAAGTACCCTTCACCTATTTCCCCCCAATGGTTACATCTTACGTAAATAAAGTACAATATCAAAACAAGGAAAATGATATTGGCTAACATATTTATATGGTTTTATGCCATTTTATCACGTGTAGATTGGTGTTACCATCACTGCAGTCAAGACAGAGAACAATTTGTGAAGGTATTTAATTACAAATTTGTTTTCTTTAAAAGATATAAAGGTATTAAGGTTTTCTATTTTTTGATTCAGTTTTGGCAGTTTGTGTCTTTCAAGGAATTTGTCCGTTTCATCTGATTTTTTAATTTACTGGCATAAAGTTGTTCTTAATATTCCTATGTTATCCTTTTAATGTTTATAGGATATGTAGTACGTCTCCTCTTTTATTCCTGATGTTGGTAATTTATGTTTTCTCTCTTTTTTCTGGATCAGTCTAGCTAGAGGTTTATCAATTTTATATACTTTTTCCCAAGAACTAGCTTTTGGTATCACTGACTTTTTTTTTTTTTTTTTTTTTTAATATTTCTCCTTTTACCTTTATTTTTCCTTTCTCTTATTTCAGGTTTATATGGTCTTGTTTGTCTAGCTTCTTAAGGTGAAAATTTATATCGTTAATTTTAGACATCCTTCTTTTTAATAAAGCATTTACAGGTATACATCTCCCTCTAAGCACTGACCTTGCTGCATCCCACAGATTTTGATATGCTGTAGTTTCATTTTCATCCAGTTCAAAATGTTTTAATTTATCATTTGATTTGCTGACACATACGTTATTTAGAAATGCGTTAGTTCCTCTTACTCATTTGTAATTTAGTTCCACTGTGGTCAGAGAACATAATTTTTATGATTCCAGTCCGTTTATATGTGTTAAGACTAATTTTTATGGCCCAACACACGGTCTATCTAAATGAATGCTCTATATTGAAAGAAATACGAATTCTGCTGTTGTTGGGTGAAGAGTTCTAAACATGTGGATTTGGTACAACTGGCTAAGTGAGTTGTTCAAGCCTTCTATATCCTTACTGATCTTCTACTTTTTCAGTTCAATCAGTTTTTGCTTAATACTTTTTGAAGCTTTTTTACTGGGTGAAAACAAATCAAGGACTGCTGTGCCTCTTGATGAACCAATTCCTTAAACATTATGAAATTTCCCTCTTTATCGCTGATAATCTTCCTTGTTCTGAAGTCTGTTTTGTCTGAGAATAGTCCTCCAGCTTTCTCAGAGTTTACGCAAAATACCTATCTTCATCCCATTATTTCAAAAGTGCTTTTCGCTTCAAGCTTTCATTTTGTTCCTTTTGTCTGAAGAACTTCCTCTAATGACTCTTAGACTGCGCATTCCCTCAGCTTTGTCTAACAAGTTCTAATTTTACCTTTGTTTCCAAGGATACAGGATTCTAGGCTGACAGTTTTTTTTTTTTTTTTTTTTCCTTTCAACATTTAAAGATACCCTTCCATTGTCTTCTAACTTGCATAGCTCTTATGCACAAACTACAAGTTTGTGAACATTCTTACCTGGCTGCCCTTAAAGATTTTCTTATCATCACTGGTTTTCATCAGTGCCTTGCTGTGGGATAGGTGTGTGTCTG